GGCCAGTGCAGAGAAGCCGTTCGCCTTTGATATATTCTCTGGTGAACTGCCCATTTGCTCGAAAGGGGTGCCCGGCACAATGGATCCCCGAGCCCTGGCTTCAGAGAACCACTCGCTTGTGGACAATTGGGATGATGATCAGGGTTACTACCGTAAGTTTTGCTTCATTGTGAGATACTTTTATAAAGTATCTTTTGACTTACGCTCCTGAAGTTGGCTCAACTGGTCCCGTTGTTCTCTCCTTTCTCCCGAATCGTTCACCGTTAACCTGCATAAGTAACTTGTCTTCTTCGATTCTGCTAGGTGTGCGTATTGGTGAAGTGCTCGATAAGCGGTATGCTGTTTACGGTTATACGGGGCACGGTGTCTTCTCCAATGTTGTTCGTGCCCGTGACAGTGCTAGGGGCAACATGGAGGTTGCCATCAAAATTATTCGTAACAACGAAGTCATGTAAGTCTCACTTATCTTTTTTTCCAATGGTCCGACCCCGATGGTTTCGTGCGCCGACATAATTTTCATACTTCTTGTAACTTTTTTCTCACAACTAATCTGTATTTCACATCGTCATCCTATTACTATAGGCACAAGTCAGGGCTGCAAGAGTTGGAGGTTCTAAAGAAGCTCAACGATGCAGACGCCGCCGACAGGTATCATTGCCTACGACTTTACCGGCACTTTTTCCATAAAAATCACCTGTGCATGGTTTTTGAGTCGATGAGCATGAATCTACGGGAGGTTCTGAAAAAGTACGGTAGAGACATGGGTCTCCATGTTGCGGCTATTCGCTCCTATACCCAACAGATGCTCTTGGCTCTAAAACTCATGCGCAAGTGCAACATTCTGCACGCGGATATCAAACCGGACAACGTGCTCGTTCATGAAAACAAGATCACTCTTAAGCTCTCCGATTTCGGTTCAGCCTGCTCAGTGCAGGAGAATGAAATTACCCCCTATCTCGTCTCACGCTTCTACCGTGCTCCAGAAGTCAGTAAGTGCATTTAATTTTTTTGTTCCACTACTTGCCAGTTCGTGTCCTCACATTTCCTGTCCTACATTTTACTGCATTATCGTTCACTAGCTTCGTTTGTCTGTGTGTGTAGTCTCTTCCTCTTGACGGCCGTCGTTTCGAACGAGAACCAGCAGCAGCAACAACCACATCTGCAACAGAAGTGGCTGAAAGCGACCCTGTTTTGTCCCTCGTGGCTCTACGTTCAGCGGTGGCAAATTATGGTAAAGATGTGAGGGAGATAGCGATGCTTTCCTCCAATACCTCCCCTCATGACCAGCTCGTAGTTCAACCATTTTACTCTAACTTTTTGTTACTTTATGGTTATCTGTCACTAATATTAATTAAGTCTGGTCTTTAGGTCGTGAGCTTACGTTCTAATCTATTCCGTTAGGTTCGTGTGAGGTAGATTTGGGAAACCTCCGTTTCCACCACCTATAAACCATTTAACAACTTGTGTAGGTAAATGTTGGGACTTAGCCCCCAACATTTATGCGCGTAGGCCGCCCGTGTTCCAGATGGTAACTGAAGGTTTTAAAGTGTAGTTTTCCACTCTGCTTTTCGTTCAGGAATTCGCGCACGTCTTCCGTAAACTTGATTTACATTTCGTAGTTTGGTCGTAGGGGACCCCTTGGTTGCTCTCATTATGTAAAAAGCTTAAAGTATACTAATCTCTGTGCATGAATAAGTTAGTTTTGACATAATTTCTCTTCTGATAGAGGCCTTTCCAAAGTGACAAACGAAAAAAGGCTGGTAGTCTATAATTCCACGAGTAAGAACTCATTGAGTTATCAGTTTACCTTAGATATGACTGTCAATTGCGGCGCCGGCCATGGAGATTTCGTGGACGACGCCCATTTCTTATCATTTGGCGTCCCGGGTGGAAATTCTTTTGCTAACCAAGTTTTTTAAAGACTGCTCACCATCTCTTCACTAGGTAGCATATCATATATGACTTCTTGTCCTCTTCTAAAGAATCTAGCCTAAGCGAGTTCCCCTTTCAGTCGACTGAGACCCACAAAATAATTGACCGACAACGGTGTTGTGTCTACAAAGTTACCTGTTCATATAACTATTATTTTTCTGATTTCTCGAGCTAAGGTTTAAGCCGTCTGTACAAGCACCAGGATAGCAATACTTAGTGGTGATCAGTACTCCACCGTTATCCCAAGCTGTTAATATTACCTTAGTTTCCTCCTAGGTGCAGACTTCTAATCTGGATTACTAGATGCAGAGAATAGTGTCATCCTAAGATTGTCCCGATCTCCGTAAACAGTGGCTGTTCTTTAAACTCTATTCCACCGCTTCTCTAGATTAGGATTTATGCCTTGTTGAATGAATTTCTATCTGTAACTGAGGTGTTTAATCTGTGTTGCGTCTGTGCTCCTATTGTCCCTCTTCACTCGCAATCGCCTACGTGTGTAGTCCTCGGTCTGCCCTACGACTTCAATATTGATCTCTGGTCCACCGCGGTGACACTCTACGAACTCAGCACCGGAAAGATCATGTTCCCCGGCAAGACCAATAATGAGATGCTGAGGCTGATGATGGAGACACGAGGTCGAATACCGAATCGTGTCGTTCGTCGGGGCACCTTCCGCGACCAGCATTTCGACGAACAATGCAACTTCCTGTATCATGAAGTTGACAAGGTCACCCAGAAGGTGAGTCCCCTAGATCATGTCCCTCTCCTCCCGGCATGTGAATACATCAACCATAACATTAATCCAAAATGAAGTTGAGAGTAGTATCCTCGTTGAATGCGGTTTTGACAAGCTCGATTTTGTTTCTTTTTCTGGATGATGTCGAGAGCTTGCTTGCTCAAAGAATAAATACCCGAATACGATTAGCAAACACAACGATAAAATAGACTATTTTTACGTATGAAGGACTTTTTCTCTTGCATAAGTACTGTATGGCTTCTGGCATCGGTGAACACCGCTGTTTTCAGTGTGCTCGTTCGATCGACAGGTTTCTGTAATTCGGGTTTATCCAAAATCGTCAAAATAAGAGCCTTTGACT